AGAGAGAGAGAGAGAGAGAGAGAGAGAGAGAGAGAGAGAGAGAGACCCTAAGCCTAATCCAACTTACCCCCTACTCGTCCTACCATCCTACCTATGACTCCTTCAATGACTTGTTGCCCTATATGCCTTGGACCGCGGCAGTGGTTGGTGAAGGAGGGGGAGAAAGAAGGTGTGAAGGTATTTCGCTACGGTGGATGGGTGAAGGAGGAGGAGGTGGAAGAAGGTGTGAAGGTGCTTGGCTACGGTGGATGGGTGAGGAAGGTGGAGGTGGAAGAAGTTGTGAGGGTGCTAGGCTGTGGTGGATAGGTGAAGGAGGTGGAGATGGGAGAAGGTGTGGAGATACTTGGCTATGGTGGATGGGTGGAGGTGGAAGTGGAGGACGGGTGAAGGAGGTGGAGGTGGAAGAAGGTGTGAAGGTACTTGGCTATGGGGGATGGGTGAAGGAGGTTGAGGTGGAAGAAGGTGTGAAGGTGCTCGGCTATGGTGGATGGGTGAAGGAGGTGGAGGTGGAAGAAGATGTGAAGGTGCTTGGCTATGGTGGAAGGGTGAAGGAGGTGGAGGTGGAAGAAGGTGTGGAGATGAACTGGCGATTCACTCCCAAGTGCAGATTTGAACAAAAGATGAAGGGAGAGTGAGTGAGCTCACTCTCGAGCTAGGAAACTCAAAAACACAAAGTGTTGGATTACAACGGAGAGTGAAAACGGACAAAATGATGGCTACAACATCAAATTAAGCAAGGACAAAAGTGGCGATTCACTCCCAAGTGAAGATTAGAGCAAAAGATGAAGAGAGACTGAGTGAAACTCACTCTCAAGCTAGGAAACTCAAAACACAAAGTGTCGGATTACAATGGAGAGTGAAAATGGACAATGCAAGAATAGATGATGAATACCATAGCAGAACAAGCAAGGGCAAAAGTGGCGATTCACTCTCAAGTGAAGATTAGAGCAAAAGATGAAGGGAGAGTGAGTGAAACTCGCTTTCAAGCTAGGAAACTCAAAGCTCGGAAACTCAAAACACGAAGTAAACTCTAAAACACAAAGCACCAGATTACAATGGAGATTGAAAATGGACAATGCAAGTGTAGATAATCACTACAACAACAAAACAGGCAAGGACAAAAGTAGGGATTCACTCTCAAGTGAAGATTAGAGCAAAAGATGAAGGGAGAGTGAGTGAAACTCATTCTCAAGCTAAGAAACTCAAAACACAAAGTACCGGATTACAATGGAGAGTGAAAATGGACAATGCAAGGGTAGATGATGACTAAAACAACAAAACAAGCAAGGACAAAAGTGGCGATTCATTCCCAAGTGAAGATTTGAACAAAAGATGAAGGGAGAATGAGTGAAACCCACTCTCAAGCTAGGAAACTTCAAAACACGAAGTACCGGATTACAATGGAGAGTGAAAATGGACAATGCAAG